GGCTGAATGGGCAAGTATATTTGGTGTGATGAGGATTCAAATCAGCGACCGTCAGATTATGAGCTGAGCGCCCTAACCACCTGGCCATGCCGGCCCGAGGTGAGTGGGGCCACTGTGTTTGATTCAGTACATGAGCGATATTTCGGCAAATAGAAAAGATAGGAAGTTGTTATCTTATATTCTAGCTTGTCAATATTGGTAATTTAAGTTTCTAATTTGTAAAGAACTATAAACTCTGTATTTTGATATCACAAACATCTAATTTGAACCAAAGCTGCATTCAACATACCACATGACACACAAGTTGGTTGTTTTGTGTATAGGCAGAACTTTTCCATTATTGCAAAAATGAAAACATGAACTCTTTTCTTCATAAGTTACATAAAATGATTACCACAATATGACAACACATCACAGAAGTTAAAATTGTTGAAATATAGGTAAAATCAATAAATAACATTTATTTAAAATTTGTCTCAAAAAATTTATGAAGTGGCAAAAAAATATGAAAAGCCAGAGGAAACCTTGTCTTCGGATTTCAGGCACAATAATTTAGAATTAATTTACTTTTTAATCCTAAACTTTGTACATGAAAATGCATCATATAAGCAAGGCAACTGCACTGTTTAACATTTGAAAAAATAAAAGATTTATTTAATTATCAGTCACCTGTTGCAACACTTCTGTGTACACTTTTCGAGACTTGTTATTTCAGTACGTTGTTTCACATGATTATAACTTTGTATGGGACAATATTGGAGTCCTAAGTGTTGTATTTATAACCATGCTGTTAGTCAAATGCTTTGTAACCAATAAGGGAAATTAATAACCATAACTGATTTTATTTATTAGGCAAATGCACACTTACTCAAAGTAAAAACCTAGTATCTTTTTTATATTCTTCACATAGCCTATATTTAAAGTCAAACAACGTGGAAATTACAATAACATCAAGTTATTTTGTAAAATGACACTTTTGATAATTATACTGTTATCTTATAAATGGAATGAATGAGAATAAAATAAGAAAATCTATTCAGATAATATTGTATTATTGTGTTTAACATTTCCATGCTAGTTGCAGTGATATTTTTTATTTACAATGATGGTTATGATACTAGTTAACTTTATCAAAGTTAACTGTGTAATACTGTAACCAAATTTTCAGTATTTCTTATAAGAAAGAAGACTTTAATAATATAGTATTCCAAATTAATCATTGGTGATCATATAGTCCTAAAGTAATGTAAATAAGTCAAACAAAGTTAAAATAATGTTTATGTATTCTGTAAATGATCAGCTCATTCAGGTTATAATCCAGGAATTCCAAAGCTTCTATTTTAATTTCTTGTAACGTGATTGATATGTAAAAATAAAAATATTTAGAAACAAACATTTAAACTTTTTTAATTTAAGTATTAATAATTACTTACAATCATATTTAAAAGAAAATCATAACCCTGTTTTTCTTTTTTGAAATCATTACTTATACAGTCATAACACTTGAATTTTCACTCATTTTAGACATCAACATGAAAAACATCTTTCTAATGGGAATTATAACTTATAATGCTTGGAGACGGCTTGAATGGGTAATGAAGAAAAACTTTAATATAAGTTTAACATAACAGCAAATGTA